TTCCCATTAAGGTTCTAGGCTCTGCTAAAATACCATAGCCCCGTGTCTTGTCTTTTTCTTGAATTCTCTGTAATGCAAAGGAGAGAATTCAGCAGAGACAGACTGGTGGGTTCTGTAGAAGAAGCTGGGAACTAGTCCACTTCAAGGGATCTCATCTCACTAAGAAAATATACAATAATCCATATGTATCCTCTTGGCCCTGATGTGGCAAACTGGGGATTAGTAATGTCAGTATCTCCTCCCTTGAAGATTGAAACAACTGCTGATGTTTTGTATTAAGAGAACCAGTATAAAAAATACTTTATTATGACAACCGTATTTAGTTGATTCTTGTAATGATAGTATTCTGCATATATATTGTATATTCCTTTTTTATCATACCTTCCTTTATGTCTTTCTCCACATTCATGTACAGACCAAGCTGTCCAGCAAGAGTAACAGTGACAAGGGGTTGGGAAAACTTTAATACTGCTAAGTTTTGCTTTCAAATGTATTTTATATTCCAATCGTATATATTTTTTTTATTTGTTTCTATGGCTGACTGGCAGTGTTGTAGTTTGTCTAATCCCATCATTGTCACTTTTGCTAGACGTGCTTGGTCTGCATGTAAATTTAAATATAAATAAAGACGTGAATACTAGGTTTGCACAGATACCGAGTACTGTACTCGGTACGAGTACATGTACCGATACTTCAAAAATTAGGAGGCAGCTGTCATTTGTAAGGAGCACACGGAGCTCCTGGGATTTGTACATCTCTGTTTTAACGTACGATTTTGTTTTTATAAATATAAATAAAGGGATGCACAGATACCAGTTTTGCGAGTACTGGTACTTGCCGAGTACTTACAAGTACAAGTACTGATACATTTTTGTTTATTGTCATGTGACAGTTTTTCTAAAACAATACAGACTAATGATTTCAGGACAGTGGTGGAGTGCCGGAGCCGGGTCCCAGCTGCAACCGCTGCAACCCTGGTAGTTCTCATGAAAATGCCAAGTATCTGCACTGGTACTCGAAAAGTATCGGTGCATCCCTAGTGAATACTATCATTATACAGTATGTGTTTACTTATCAGAATTTAATATTTTTTTGCAATAGAGGTCCTTAAACAATTTATTTCATCATCATCATGATCTGATTTGATTTATGTGACCAGTAATTATCCCCTCTGTATTGTTAAAGTGAAACCTGACATGTTCTGCATAATGGATGATGGGGGACAGCATTGGTCTCCTTGATGAAGCACATATCAGACTTGTCAGCTATATATAGGAAGCAAGTATGGTCAGATTGTGACCTTATTTTTATTAGCTTGCAGTTTCTCAAGTCCTAAATACTAGGAAAGAAGAAATATGGAGCCATGGAAGTGATGCACTTTGAAATACTTCCTAGACAAACAAATTAAAGGAAACAGGCTCTTTATGACTTTTAAATAAATTGGATATTTTCAAAGAGACCTCCACCTTAAACTGGTTTTGTTTTGTGATAAGGTTAACAGTAGATGAAAACCAATATATCAATCCTTAGCTCCTCTACCATCGACCTACAATTAGACATGTGCGATTCGTTTCGTTACGAATCGAAATTCGTACGAATTTTCCTAAAATTCCGAATTTCGGGGCATCCGAAATCCGAATGGCAGTTTCCGAATTATATCCGAAATCCGAAATTCCGTTAACGAATTTCGGATCCGAATTTCTTTGAAACAGGAACAATGTGCAGTGTTTAAGCAATAATTCTCTGTTTGCTCTGCTGATGCTGCATTCTCTTACATTGGCATGCATTGCAGTTATCAGAGCAGGCGCTGCAGGTATAGCAGAGGCATGGGCTAATTAGTCTGGAAACTTCACTTTGCTGTAACTGAAATACGCTACAGTAGAAATGAAGTATCTGATTGAAATTGTTTTCCTCTCTCATTGATCATCACTTAAAGTTGAACAATGGGTAGAATAAAAAAGTTACATATATGATGCAGTCTGTTTGTAGCATTAACGCAGCAGTTGTTTTCCTGATTCTCCCCATATCTGTTATTTTGTCATTTCCTGTGCAAGGGTGACATCATTCTTTGTTCTGCAGTGAAATTGCAAATCAGCGTTGTGACCCTTTAGGCAGGGTCATCTTAGGTGGACATATAGTTTTAAATGGACATTAGGTAGGAGTAAACAAACTCAAGCTTAACTCCAACTAACACATTTTAATTAGTTTTAGGTACCTTCTAAGTAGTTACAGCAACAGGATTTTCTTTTCCATTCAATGATGGACACAGGATTCAGAAACAAGACTTCATCTACACATAGTGAGCTGGTCTCGTATGCAGCTATCTGGACTAGGGTATCCTCAGCAATAGCTTTGGGCAATTACAGGGACTGTCTGGAATGCGATCTTTAGGCACTGTTATCTGCTTATGGCACTTTCTCAGATATCTGGGTACTGTGTTAGCTAGCCACAAATTGCTTTCCAGGTTCAGAGCCGGGGGAAAACAGCTCAGACCATTTTGGCTCTTCTAGATTCGGTTGGAGGACATGAAGGAGCTGTGTGTAGCTTATTTTAAGAAGTGGGCTGTTTCCACAGTTGATCTGGCAGTGTCCTGTCTTAAATATACTCCCACAGATAAACGTGTAGAGATGCTCTCCGAAAACCTTGTTTTCTCTAGCAGGCCCTGCATTGCAACCTGCCATGACCATGATGTTAGCCTGTTGAACATTAGTGGAATGGACTAAATGGAATCCACACTAATTCACTATTTGTGGAGCAATTAAAGTTTATGCCAACTGCCCTGCGCTACTGTTTAGATGGGTTAATGGATGTCTCCTGTCTTATTTCCCCTATCAGTTAACATTCAGAGAATTCCTTGGTTGAAATGTTGGACTGCAAGGCAGGTATGTGAAAAGCGTTTACTGTGCATGCCCTTCTAGGGACAATGTCTCTTCGGAGCTGCCTTAGACATCTTCATCAATGATGTCACCATGGGTAGGAGTATTCACCTACCCCAGCAGAAGAAGCTTAGGTCTCAAGTTGGGAAAAATCAACTCCCTCCTGAGGCCAAGAAGAGTTCCTTTTGTTACTCCCAGGCTTCAGCCTCATAGACCAAACCCAAGCCACATGCCCTGGGCTCCCAATTTCCCCTGCAGACAAGTCCTCTTGACAAACTGATTCACTTGACACAATGGAACAGGTTGTCTCTAGTCTGGTGGCTCAGGAGGTCAGCTCTAGAGTTGGTTAAATCCCTCCTTCCAATTTTTTGGGGAAAATTGTTAAAAGGTCCAACAGCCTAACAAGCTGGAGAGTCCTATATACTTTATACTGTTGGTGCAGGGTATTTAGATACTGGAGGAATCCCATCTCCCGATCTCCTAAGCTTTGAGCAATTTGGTTGTGTCTACAACACTTGACATCTTGACTGGAAAGTCTTACAATCAGGATCCAGTCGGAATTCCACTTCCAGGAAGTCAACCATTACATATAGAAGGTATTGTGCAAGGTGTTTCTCATGTAGTCCCCTCTTTGCACCCATCTGTGGCTCCATTGAGTTTGCTTTTCCCAGCACTTCAAAATGTCCTTTGAACCTATCAGGAATATTCTCTTTTCCACTCTCACCCACAAGGTTGCCTTCCTCAGGCAAACACCTTTGTGAGGTATGTATCTGAACTAGAGGCTTTGTCCTGTAATGCCTAGTTCTTTCCTTCCCAAGGTGGTTTTGGCCTTCCACCTCAACCAGGACATTTTTGCTTCCGTCCTTTTGCCAGCACATCAGAAGAAAATTTCCTTTAATTGTCTGGCTGTAGTTTGAGGTGTGCATGTCTTCCTTTGTACCACTTCTTCCATTAGAAAGACTGACTCCAGCTTTGTCATCCCTGATGGGTCCCCACAAGGGGGAACCAGTTGCTTTTCCACCATTTCTCTGTGGCTCATACAAATCATTTTCCAAACTCATGATCTTAAGGATCAGTTCCACTCAAGACACACTGTACTAGGTCTGTGCTTCTTGGATGTTTCAGCATTAAGCAAGTGTTTCCCAGATTTGCAAGACTGCCACCTGTTTTTCTGTTCACACGGTCTCACGTTTTAACAGTCCCTAGTTTGTTTTTTGTTATTGTAGTTGGGCATCCCTATTGTTTCTGAACCCTGAGTCCCTCAATGAATGAGAACAAAAACTAGATTTTTTGTACTTATTGTAACATCTCTTTGTTGGAAATTCAATGATGGACACAGGCCCCACCCTTTTCTGTGTTTTTAGGCTTGCTCTTGGCACTATTTGTTACAAAACTGAGGCATGCTTGGAGTAGGCGAGGTTATACCAGGCTGGTCACTGTTTTTTTGTTTGCCATTGTCCAAATGCTCTTGTATATTGCAGTATAACCAATTGTCTCTGAATTCTGTGTCTTTTAATGAACGTCTTTTAAGAAAAGTTTTTTTTATGGTAAGTACAGAGATCCACTTTTTTAAAATTTTACTCTATTTTTTAAATTTATTTTACTTTGATTTTTTTTTTCTTAAATGCAAGTAGTCTCAAGTGCCTAAATTTGACCAGGTATCAGCAGTCTTGCAGCAAGGCTGGTTAGGCATGCTGGTAGGATGAGAAAAAAAGAGTGACGGAGAGCTCATCACTGTACTGCTTATCCTTTCACTGTCCAGCCAGGGGTGGGTCCAGGGTGACCCAGATAAAGTGAGTTTAATGTTGGCTTTAAGCCGTATGAAATGAAGCTGACCACTGTAAGTGTAATATGGTTTGTTCTAACTCTGCAACTACCACATTTGCTAAACAGCTTGGTCTGTTACAGGAAGTGGAAAAACAATGGCAATGCAACTATGGTAGTAATGCTAATGGCTATAGACAGGGTGCGTCATTTACTGTATGTACTTTCTGCTTTTACCCATGCTTCCAATTAAAAACTAAGATACGTTTGATTGGAAGCCTCTGAAACTCAGTACTAGTGGGGACTATGTCTCCCCCTGTCTATAATTGGGTGTATGGTGATGTTATTCTGGTTCTGCAGGGTGCCCATCATCTTTTTATGGAAAGGACTGTGCCAATGTCTGCCAGTGCCATAACGGAGCCGACTGTGACCACATCACTGGGCAGTGCACATGTAGGACAGGATTCACAGGCAAACACTGCGAGCAGAGTAAGTGACATGTCAGCCAGCGTCTAGTCCTGCACAATATTTTCAGCTCACATACAGCCTGCATTGAACAATGTCCTGTTCTATGTCTGTCTTTCTGTCTGCCTGCCTCATCTACATGATCCCCATAATGGCTGGGATATGGGGGAGCTTTTTACATTGCATGTTCTAACTACACAAGGCTGTCATCCCCATAATAAACTTTTGCAGAAAAATTAACATTTAAAATAAATCTAAACATTTTGTGAATATGCCATTAATCACATTATTATTAGTTATTGTAAAAATCCATAGTAGTCCACAAAGTTTGTGAAAACAATAACGTTCTGTTCTAAATACTTTACCAAATTAAAACGAAGTAATTAAAAATTGTATCTACAGCACGTAAAGCCAAATAGGAATTAAAGTGTATGTACAGTACAGCCAAATATTTTATTTAACTGGATAGAGTATGGAAAGGGTTCTTTTTTTTCAAGTCCATATACTGTTGGGGATATTTTGCTGTACTTCATGTCCCAGCAATACAAAAGGAAGTGAGGGGAAATCTCTACAAATTTAGGCCTATTCTAGTCTTAAGCTGGCCATACACCTGTCAATTTCTTTTGTTCAACCCGCGGGCTGAACTAAAGAAATGGACGCGATTCCTGCATCAACACAAACAGCATGTGGATCGAGCTATCGCCGCTGATTGCATTGTATTCTGACAGGTAGCGCCGGCACCTGTCAGAATACCCGATCAGAGCGGGCAGCTCATAGGCTGCCAGCTCTCATCACTCAAAGATATTCCAGCCGCCCCTTGATCAGCTGATCGAGGAATACCGGCTGAAGAGGAGCCGACAGCCCCACACACTGTGCGAATTTCAGCCAGTACATTAAAAAGCCTCCGAAGTTCGGCCAGTGTATGGGCACCTTTGGACAATTGTCACAAGAACAGGTGTCTTCATTCGAAGATTTCCTATCTATTCCTGATCTGATGACAACTCTAAAATTTTGGAATTACCAACTCTTTCTGTTTATATCACAATAATAACCAGGACAAAACGAGAAGGTGAATCCCCCTAGTGGGGGCACAGCAATAAAATCCTGACATGGGTTCTAGTCCTTCCTTACTCTGCCCAAAACTGGAAAAAACTGTTTTGGCTAGAGATATACTTTAATCAATAAAAACATATGATAGCAAAAGATTGCAATTGCCTCAATAGCCATTTTCCTTGTAGATTTGCCTTAACAAAGTATATCTCTACACAGGAGGAGTGGACAGAAAAAAGATCTGTTCGTTTAGTAAGCTGCAGAACTTTATTCTTATCAATGGTCTGTGTTTTTGTGATGGCCCCTCCGCTGTTATAGCTAATGTGTTTAGCAGCAACAAATGGCTTGTGATCTACAAGTGTGTGTGCAGTCATATCTGTCCTGCATTCTTATTGCGTTCAGTGGTTTCATTCTATTTCTCTGCAGAGTGCCCACCAGGAACCTTTGGATACGGCTGCCGGCAGCTGTGCGAGTGTTCGAACAATGCCACGTGTGACCACGTTACAGGGACCTGCTACTGCAACCCTGGCTTCAAAGGCATCCGCTGTGACCAGGGTGAGAGACGCTATTCGGTGTGGCTGTAAAATCAGCTTTGCATTTCTCAAAGTTTGAGACTGTACTGGTGTGCATCATGCTTTTTAATGAAAGACTTTTTATTCTCTGTGTTCCTTTTTTTGTAGCTGCTCTAATGATGGAAGAACTGAATCCTTACACTAAAATTAGCCCAGCCCATGGCTCTGAAAGACACTCAGCGGGTGCCATCATTGGGGTCATTGTCCTGCTGCTGATCATCATGACTTTGTTAGGACTCTTCTTATGGTACCGGCAGAGACAAAAGGACAAAGATCATGAAATGCCTAATGTGTCGTACACCCCAGCCATGCGCATGACCAGTACAGACTACTCTCTTGCAGGTGCGTTGGATGGCTTGCCGCCACCTTGTACTATTTCATTATAGTGTGTTGTTTATATTGACTAAAGCTTAACCCCATTTTGTGCCCTGAGGTCACTGATGCCTTGATGCCCAAGCCAACTTTAGCAGCTTCACCATGTGTTCGGTAACTTAACAATACCTCTATGACTAATTTCCATTCCTAAACAAATGTTATAATGACATCTACAGCTTTAATTTGGCACACTGTTTAAGGAAGAACGCCAGGAAAACATTTTTCTGAACTTTGCAGTAGGGCTACCCCCATACTGCAAGGGTTAAGTGCTTGTTTTGGTCTAGGTAAACATTTTTTTTTTTTAAATGTTACTCACCTGAATCCTACATCGCTCCCTCCTGCCTTTCTACTCCTCTGCTCCTCTACTCCTCATGTCCTGTACAATGTGTATAGAATGTGATGGGTCCATAAACCACTGCAGCAGAGAGGGGGAGATACACTGGAAGGACCTGTCTAAGAGCAAGCCGGCTCGGATGATTAGGTGAGTATAACTTTTTTTAAATTTTTGCTAGGGCTGCGGAAATTAACGATTAATCCTTCGATTAATCGTTAATTTTTTTGATCGATCAAAATTATTTTGATCGGAACTCACCTTTCCGCCAGCTTCCGGGTCTTCCGGGAGTTCCTCGGAGATCCGGTGACGTCACGGACATCGATGTCACCGGACTCCTCCCCCCTTCCCCTAGTGAATCCTTACACTAAAATTAGCTAGGGCTGCAGCTAACGATTATTTTCATAATCGATTAGTTGGCCGATTATTAAGTTCGATTAATCGGTTAATCGGATAAAAAAAGGCTCCAGTGATTGACGACTAGTTTGTGTTAAGATTGTAGTCCATCATGGGAGCAAGCTTGGCGCGGTGGAAGTAAAAAAAAAAAGTGTGGTGTGCAATATAGTACATTATACAGCGGCGCAGTGCAGAATACCAGCAGCTATAGAGGAATGTAGCAATAGTACATTAGACCATATGCACTAGGGTGGGCACCTTTCTCTTTCTTTTTGTCTTACAGTTATACAGTTCGCTTGGCTGTGTAATAATGGCTTATAATTAATCGAAATGAATCGATTAATCGATTTTAAAAAATTTCGATTAATCGAACACAAAATTTTTAATCATTACCAGCCCTAATTTTTGCACCTAGAAGTAAAAGAGCACTTAACCCTTGCAGTGCAGTTTTGTAGAGCCGGCGGCTGGCTTTAAGTAGAAGTAATTATACGATCCGGTAACTGGGCCGCTTGGAACTTTAGACCTCAGATCAGTCCCAGTGTATGAACTTCAGACCTCAGATCAACCCCAGTGCATAAACTTCAGTCCTCAGCTCAGCCCCTGTGCATGAACTTCAGACCTCAGATCAGCCCCAGTGCATAAACTTCAGACTTCAGATCAGTCCCAGTGTATGAACTTCAAACCTCAAGTCAGCCCCAAACCCTGTACCTTTAGAAAAGCTGGGTACTGGTAGGTTTGCGATTGGGCTTCTGCACGGCAACGTCCTCAGCTGGCTGCAGGCTTTCAGTGACAACAGGTAGGTGGAGGGGCCAGGCTTTGTGATCTGTCACAAAAGATTTATGTATGAGTATGTATGCAACTAGCAGAATGGTCAAACTTGCCAGCTGTGATGCGGTAGTGTTCTGGAAACATACCTTCTGAGAGCTGAGGTGCCTGAAGTTCATCTTTCAGTGAAGCCATTTATTTCACCTGGCTGATAAGCCTCTCAGAGTAAAGAGTTAAATGCAGCCTATGGAAAGTCGCACACTAGGTGTAACATGTTAATGCTATTACGCTTGAGAGAGAAAGAGAGAAAGAGATTATTATAATGCTCTGGATGTCCCATTGTTCATTGTGAAACTCTATCTCAGCATGGCAATATCTAGTTCAATTATATATCTGTGTGCTGCGATAATGAGCTGCATACTAGTACAGTTATATAGGAGATTATGTTATTGGTATATGAACAGAATTGGAATGAATTTTCTACAACAAGGATTTAGTAATCGCATTTTTACAATTTTGCACTAGTTGCCGAATGTGCCATGAATTATTTAGTAAATGTAAAGAATAACTCTAACCATACATGTCAAAACAGAAAAGCAATGCTGGAGTAACTTGAATGTTGTATTGTCTATTGTTCAACATTAAAAAACATTTTCTTTTACTTGGTTCTTTTACTGTGGACAGAGTCCAACTGGCAAGTAGTCTTCATTGGTCTTAAAAATTGACTGCTAACTGTGGGCAATATAGACCCTTTAATTTGTATGTAACAGCCAGATTTTTCTATAGAAGAGACCCTAAAACATATTGTGGTTGATTTACTAAATGGGTAAATACTGTTCACCTAGCAAAAGTGTCATTTCACTGTTCAAAGTGAATGTTTCTGTGTTCCCTCTGAATACCTATTATGTGCTAGGAAAAACTCTTTTTTTTTTTCTTTTTCCCTCGCATGTGATTGAGTATACCTTATTCATTAACATTTAAGGTTAAGGTGTATAAGGTTACACCTTACAATTATCGTATGATTTTTTTCCGTGCCTTCATCAAACCATCGTTCGATTTCCGCACGACTGCCCCATCATGCACAGACCAATGTGGATTTCAATTATTGTTCGTTAGCAATACTAACTGACCAATTTGGTCGATTTTCGTTTGCGGATGTGCAGTGTTTATGTTGCGATTTTTTAATGCAAAAACGCCACTAATCCATCGATTTTCATACAATTCAAAGTTTTCTAGCCTGCTCATTAGAGGAAATGCGGCCAGTTGTACAGTAATTCTAATCATTCACTTCCCATCATCTGGCCGATTATTGTATTAAAAAAACGATCTCATTAGTTTTTCGAACGATAACCGCAAGGTGTATGGGCACCTTTACTGGATGAACAGCCTCTTTCCCTCTAGTAGATCAACCTTACATTGCTGTTTTAAATGCAGTGACGTCTTTTATATCATTTTCCACCACGCACTATTACTGTCTTCACACAATATTAGGGATAATTTGCAGTCATGGGCCATTACTCCATGTCATCAATTACTGCTTTCTGGTGTCATTTAGTAAAAACTAGAATGCCACATTATACAAGATCATTTGTATTACTGAACTACTCATGACTGATGGATTTGTTGATTACGTCCCTCTGTTAAAACCCCAATAAACACACAGACTGTGTGACATGGATTTAAATGGCCACAGCAGCCCTTTTATTAACCAAACAAACGTTAACAGTAACCAAAATAATAAACAAAATAATATACAAATAAATAATCTTAATGACTGTTGGATCCGAGGAGGGGTCTTTGGGTGCCCGTCAGCAAACTGCTTCCATGTCCCCAGCCGCACCCCAACCAGCTTGAGGACAGTTACTGCTCACAAGTTCCGAGGTGCCAGGACCCCCGACAAATATTGACACCAACAGGGGGAAGCACCCATACCAACTGATGGACCCCCATTTGTGTAACTGGCTCACATTTTCAGACCCCCCCCCC